ATAATTATATTATTTTTTTATTTTTTTTATGACCTCCCGCGGCCCCCCTGCAGTACCCTGGTGGGCCGCGGACCCCACTTTGGGAGACACTGGTCTATATTATAAAATGATATATTTTAAATGAATATTTATCAAGATATTTTTTTAGCACACCGTACTTGTGACTGCATCATTTGTCAACTAACCCACAGATTAACATTTCAATTGTTGTTTTATGATCACTTCTGTGCCACTTACGCTGAAGCGATATTACAATTAAATAAATGATAAAACAATGATTTATAGATTCACTTGCTATCAGTCGGATCTATATGTTGGGGGTGATTGAGGGAGTTTCTTTTTTAAATGAATTATATAAAGAGCCTGTGGGCCTGCAGATATAAGGTAAACTTGGTGAAATGAAATGTACTGTATCTACTGTATTAGTGATAACAACAACAACGACTGGTGTATTGTTAGGTAAAAAATCAGGCATGACGGATACATTTTTCAAAATTGTATTATTGATTACCATATTTTATTTAGAAGCGTTTTTCATGTGGAACACAATGTCTTTTTGTCCAGTCAAAAACGCAGAATTAGCGCTTTACGTCAGGATGTAAGATTGTATCATTAAAGTGTGTCTGAAATCAAGCCAGAAAAATCACTTATTATTGGAACATTTACTTAAACCCAAGCCATAAATCTAAGCTAGTGCCGCCTAGATATCAGCCTAGAATGAGTCAATCCTGGATCTATACTATCCTTATTTACTATTAACTGAATTTTGCAGCCATTTTTCTGCATAACTCGTTGAATAGCCTCAAGTCACTTTAACTACAGTGCCCCCAGAGATCATGCCAACCTCCATCCCTCTGTTCAATGGGCTCGGCTGTCTGCTGCTGTGATAATAAAGGACCAGCGCTGTTTGTGTCTCCAGTTCAACCCAAACACACATTAGTCCTGATGCCATAAAGACAGGCTGCGTTCAGAGATCCATGTGCTTCAAAGACCTCTGTGGAGAATCTGCACTTATGCATGAGACAGAGCCGCCGTAATAGTGAGGGGCAGCACGTGTCATTTATGGGCGAAGAATACCACTGAGATACAATTCTTAAATCTCCAAGTTTTAATGCTTTAGAATCCTTAAAGAGGGCACAAGCTAAGACGAGACATATCCCCAAGCACTGCCCGTCCCCTCTTTGCTGTAGGTTTCTATAGTTTGAAATGTGTTGTTCATAGATTCAGCCAAAATGTAATCAGTTTATGAGGGGTTTTTTGGGTCAGGATTTGCTGCCAGTGCTGTAGTGTGTTTGTAATTTTGTGGCAATAAAGTTTTTCAAATTTGAGTGCCACTGAAATCCCTCTTTAGAACTTTACTTTTTATTTTAGGTTTTAAACACTTTATTTATAACTAACAGTGCTCCCTCAGGTGTGTGTGTGTGTGTATATGTGTGTGTTTGAGTATTGTGGTTTCCTTTATATTCACTTGTAGTAGACTGAAACTTGGCCCTGGCCCACACTTAGGTCGGTTGGTTGGGAGGTGTTGGGTGTGCTGAGGACCGTCACCTCTCATTCTCATTTTCCTCCCCTCTGTACTCCCCCCCCAGACTTAAATCTCCCTCCCCTCTCCTTGTTACCCACACCCCCTCTCGTTCCTGCTCGCCCACTTTCCCCTCTGTCTCACCTCTTTGGTGGAACAAGAATAGCAGTTGTACCTGCCCCACTCAGGACGTGCAGCCTTACATAGATGAAGCTCAAGTTCCACAGAAATCACACAGAAATGAGATGTCAGGCACTTTCTCTTCATTGTCCTACTCACGTGTGCTTCGGGGATGGGTGAGGGCGGGAGCTTGGGCCGATCCAATTCCAACTAAATACCAGGCCGCACTGCTGACACTGACACCCAGATACATGTCACTGCACTGGTACTATTGAGACTTGCTTTGGGATGTACATTTTTTGAGGAACTGAGACTATTTAATTGATATGCATATTTTTCTAGTTATGTAAACTTTCATCAACTTTCATCACAACATCTAAGCATTCTTTTTTTTTCTGTGCTTGTGTAGAACGTGCGCCAGTCACTGTAACTGGTTTAATCCTCACCAATTGCCTCAGGCTCAGAGTCCAGAAATGAACCAATTGGAAGATTGTGTGATAATCGAATATTGAGAATCACAATATCCCCAAAACAATTTCGGGTTTTTGAGGTCTCTGGCCAAGACAAGCCTATGACCGAAGCATGTGCAATCTCAAAATGATGCAGGTTTGTAGTTAATTTGTCTGATGATGCGTTACTTTTCCTCACTAAAACAGATAATGATGCAATTACATTTGGGGAGAAGCTAGCTAATCCTTTCTTGTGCAACACTGCGGATTTTTCTTATCACAGGATTCCATGTGCTCACTAGTTCTAAATCAGTTTTAACAGTGAAAAGCAATAGATACAAAATGTACATGTGCACTACATCAATCAATTAATCCAGATTGGATTTCAAGAACAAAATTACAGAACAGACAGACAGGTTTAAAAAAGAGGTTGGATGACGAAAGTTAGGCACATACACTTTTTGGCTTGCTCTTAGTCTGTAATCATGGCGAGCATCTCTGTAATGGAATACGTTTTTCAACTTGCCCAAGCATCTATTGACTTTACATTGACAAGTAGCTTCTTTCGCTCAGTAACCGTTAATGTCACACTCAACATTTTGGGATAAACAAGTTTGTTGTTTAGCACTCTCTATGATCCTGGGTTTTTAATTTTGATATTGACTTTGTAAATCCAGATATGAGCCCTAAGAATGCCTTCAGTACCTTGGCTTAGCTGCCATTAGCAACAGTCGGCTCATATAAGGAAATTGGCTCCAGCTAGCTTTTGTCCAAATCGGCTTCTATGGGTACGTAGGCACTCGGTCAGTCCTGTCCTACTCTACGGCCTATGACAATATGTGGTAGAGAATTTCCAGATACCTTGAATGAACGTTGAAGGAGTGGGTAACACCGATGCATGCTGCACACACATATAGCTTCTCCTCCGCTCCCCTCTTTCAGATCTAGGTCAGTGGAGATGTGAGTGCACGTGAGCCAGCGGCGCGTACACATGACATCACCGGGCCTTGCTCTCTGAACAGCGGTGAGGAGATGTTGTGGCCTGTGATGAAGTGTCAGGAGAGAGAGGAGCTCATTGTGTCACAGTGCGGTTCTTGAATCCACCTCTGAGCAGCGTGGAGGGCGCTCATGACGTAAATGTGCAATTCACCGGAAAGACTTCCGTCACACAGCCCTGGTACTAGTAGTGTGGAGGTTTGGATGGGACAATTACATTCAAATGAGAATGTGGAACAAATATTCGCTAATAATCAGAAGTGTAATAGTGTCAGATCAGATAATCATAGTGTTGTTCATTAATTTGTGTTATGTATGAAAAACAATGTATATATGGGTTTGCTAAAAAAAATAGTTTTACATGTATACTGGTAAGGGTAAATGTTATCTTTTGCATACTTGTAAGAAAGCTCCTTGTGCGTCACTATTTGTTTGTTTGGGTTGAGAGCTGATTGGGTAGTCCTCCACTTTTCACCTTTCTGCCAAAAATGTATGCATTCGAAAACTATTGGCTAACGAGCGCTTAAACAGACTTTATTACATAGTTATTGTAGTTTAATATTTAGGTAACCCAGCTTTAATTGCATTTGTCTGAAACCACATATTTCAACAACAATTACAACACTGAATGTATTTGCGTCCTCTTCTTCTCTCGTATATGTAATGTTTTTTGTGTTAATCTGTTTTGAAGCGCATAAACGTAGTGTGCAGTGTTCCTTTATGTGGCAGCGTGCCCGGTCCCGTGTCCGCCCAGAGTCACATGAGGCTGTGGCAGAGGCACACCCAGGTCCAGGCCAGACCTCGGGGCGTGTGGGGCGGTGAGGAGGCCCAAACCAGCTCCATATGTCGGCCAGTGCCCCTCCTCTGCTGAGCCTGGAGCCCTGGACTTATGCACAACTAAACACAGATTATCCATAACTTGTGTAGCTGTGTTTTGCTTTTTTAGCATTGAATTTCAATTAGTATTCATTTAGCTTTTTGGCTTTGCATGTAATTTCCTCTGCGGCTCAATATACAGTATTTTGTCTAAATGTCTAATGTTATCGTTGTGTTTACTTACTCATTGCTTACTTTACTTTCTTTGTAAATGTATCAAACTTGGTATTACTCTTTTTCTCCGTACTTTACATCTAAGATGAATCAGCTTACAGAATTGTATTATAATGATTATACTGTTATAAGAGTTTTCTATTATTTGTATAGTTTTGTTCAATCATTACAAGTTTTACACGCATGTATCTTTAGATCAACTTTTTCAGACAGAAAATGGAAAAAGAGAGAATCACCCTTAGACAGCCAATCAGCACCTCTTAGATATTCTTAGATGAAGAGAGCCTGCTTTGGTCTGACAATATTTTACTTATACAAGACTCTTTCTGTTGGATCAAACGATATTTATTTTTTATCTTTTCTTCAGCGTTTGGTCAATGGTTCCCCACTCCTTTAGCTGCTGCAACAAAACACTGTATTTAAGGATACCAGTTTTGTTGAGTCAGGCTTTAAACAACACAAAACCAAACTGTGTTCAAACTATGACCGAACAGGACATTGTGTGAAACTGCCCTTAGTTAACTTGAACCAGCCCTAATCGAAATCAACATTGTCCTATTGACCCATTGACTGCTATCCTCAGCTCGTTCTGCTGCTTACTCTCCAGTGTAGTGGTCCAGCCTGGAGCCATGACACTGCAGTGGTGGTGTGGGTCACTGAGGCTGAGCGTAGACGGGACAGGGGAGGGCCGTGTACCTGCCCCGTCAGCAGCTTCCACCCATCTCTCCCCTGCTCCCGCCCGCTCCCCCCAGCTCCACACGGGCCCCAATGCTTAGTCACTGCATTCAAATCGATAGCTGGGCTAATACATCATCATGGCGCCTGACGTAACGTGTCTGTAATGTGTTTCTCTTGTCTTCCAGCCCAAGCTGATGGCCAAGGACTTACTGGACCTGGTGGCCTCGCATTTCAACCTCAAGGAGAAGGAGTACTTTGGCATCGCCTACGTAGACGAGACGTAAGTTTGTGCAGAGGGTGAATTTAAATTTGGTGATTGCACTTATTGCCCTGAACAGTTACAATAAAAAAAGAAAATATATTAATCACACTCTCTCAGGCACTCACAGGCCTCATATCAAAGCTTAAAGGAGACCTATAATGCTAAATAGTCTGTGAAAGGCCCTATATCGATAAAAATTACTCACTAAATCGACTTTTTTTAGCTTTTAACCATGCTACAGCATTGGTCCTCATCAGGTCCAACCATGCTAAAATCAGGAACTTTGATACAAACGTTTAACTCCGCCCCTTCTGTCGAAAAGCTCCTTTCTCAGTCCTGTAATAGTATAATGTCATTGTATCACTATGACACCATACTTTTCTGCAGATCAAAACAAAAAGATTGCCCATAAATTAGTTTTTGCAATTTCTGAGATAAAATTACATTCTTTACATGTCTATATTTGCAGGCAGTCATTTTCTAATTTATAAAAAAATAAAACAAATCTCTCTTCTTCCATCTCTCGGGTAGCATAGGGATATAATGCATCATATTTCTTCTTTAATGGCTTATAAAACAGGCATTCAAACTGAACTCAACATCGGCCGGTTATAATACTTTCTTCTGACTATGAAAAATGCTGCCCCAAAGTCATGTGCTCCGCGAGGGCACGTTGATGCTAAGCGAACGTGACAAAAACGCAGAAATAGACCAGTGGCAGTTCAGTCAGTTCACTGCTCTGACCGTAGCTCTGTTTTTCTATGGTCAGCAGAACAGTCATAAAGTAAGAAATACAGGTTTCCAAACAGGACAAAAACACTATATATAAATAAGTCAAGGAAGTGGTGACAAATTGTTTTCTGACCGTGTTATTTTTGAACTATGACTCTATTAGTTTAGCTTTGTTTAGTTTCTTTATTTAAGATGACAGGGACAGTGTACAATAAACATGAACCTCAAAGGGAAAATTCATTATAGCTTCAACCGACAAATTACTTGAATTAAATTGACAATATGGGGCATATGCACAGCTTGGTTTTAGTGAGGTATCAGACTCATCCATATGGTTTTGTAATCCATACAATATTCTTGTGCGATCACCATATGTTGAAATCAGCATACACAATCAAAAACATCTTCTGCACATAAGTTGGCTTTGAACTTTTCCGCCATATTGTTTTGAAATGCTGCAGTGACATTCAGCTGAGCTTTGTTGAGTGTGGCGAGCCGGGGAAACAAAGGCACAGGACAGATTGGCTCATGCAAACCTGTGTGAAAGTCATTTACATACAGGAAAACACTGTCTGGCCTTTCCCCAGGATGGACCCATCTCACGGGCCTGCAGACAGCACCAAAGACCTGATGTGGCACTGGCATTCACCTGCTGTGACTGGGAATATAACTATGTAGATTCAATGTATATGTTTTTTAATGTACCCTTTCATATATGTGTGTGTGTACTACTACCAAACATTAATCCATAGACATCAGGCGAGAGTAGGGCAGACGGAGATGTTGAGCTGCTCAGGGAAGCGTGCAAAGTCGCCATGGAGACCAGCTGTCCAGTCAGGTCCTATTTTAGAGAGAGGGGGGGGGGGGGAAACAAGGGAAAGGATAATGGTTCAAATGTACACTTATAATAATGCTCTATTCATATATTAGGGATGTCATGGATCTAATCTTGAATGGCTGATACAATACTAGAGTAATAGACATAGCTAGTGCAAGAGAACAGTTGATCTTGTGTCTCAGATCATATGGCCCTGACCTGTGGAGTACCACAGGGGTCGATCCTGGGACCTCTTCTGTTCAATCTCTACATGCTGCCGTTAGGTCAGTTAATACGCAGAAACAAAGTTTCCTATCATAACTATGCAGACGACACTCAGATCTATGTCTCACTGACTGCAGGAGAACATGGACCAGTGGACTCACTCCTTCACTGTATCCAACAGATCAGTGAGTGGATGCAAAACAACTTCCTTCAGCTAAATGCAGACAAAACTGAATTGATTGTTTTTGGTCCCCAGAAACAAAGAGAGAGCGTCATCTGTCACCTACAGTCTCTCTCTCTAAAATCTTCAAACAAGGTCAGATATCTAGGGGTAATATTGGACTCAGGCTTAAATTTTAATAGCCACATCAAATCAGTAACATCAGCAGCTTTTTACCACCTAAAAAACATTGCCAGGATCAAAAACATAGTGTCTAAAGCAGACTTGGAGATTCTTGTCCATGCATTTGTCTCCAGTAGGTTAGACTACTGCAATGGCCTGCTCACAGGTCTGTCCAAACAGGCTGTAAAACAGCTGCAGTACATTCAAAATGTGGCTCAGAGAATAGACTTTAAAACAGCTCTGCTTGTGTACAAGTCTCTCCATGGCCTCGCACCAAAATATATTAGTGACATGTTAGTCCCATATGAACCAGCCCGGACTCTGAGGAGCACAGGGACTGGACTCCTGTTAGTGCCCAGAGTCAGAACTAAACATGGGGAGGCTGCTTTTCAGATTCATGCTGCTAAAATCTGGAACAGTCTTCCTGAAGATGTGAGACAGGCCTCCTCTTTGACAATGTTTAAAACCAGGTTAACAACAGTTCTGTTTAGCTGTGCATACAACTGAGGGATTTTATATTTTTATCTTTCTTTTTAATGTTCTGTGATTATTTATGATTTTAATGCTTTCTTATTTTGTTCAGCACTTTGAAATGCCTTGTGTATGAATTGTGCTATATAAATAAACTTGCCTTGCCTTGCCATCTTTGAACTTCAAGCAGTGAGAAAAGTATTCAATTCAAAGTATTTGTGTATAGCCGTAATTCAAAACAGCAGTCAGTCTTTAACGAATCGTCAATTTGAATGCTAAAATACACTTTTTCTAAATCATAACTCTTTCAAAAATACCTAATTTAGGAGAAAGTCATATGGTCAAGGATTCAATTGCTGCAGCCATTCTGTATGTGTGTATAGGTGTGTATATACTGTACATGGGTAGGCTGCCGATTCATGCAGCTAAAATCTGGAACGGTCTTCCTGAAAATGTGAGACAAGCTTCTTCTCTGACAATATTCAAATCCAGGTTATAGTTGTAGCTGTGCATACAACTGAGGGATTTGCATCTTTACTCTTTTTAATGTTCTGTGATTATTTATGATTTTAATGCCTTGTGTGACTGTCTCTTGTTTGTTTTGTTCAGCACTTTGAGTTGCCTTGTGTGGGAATTGTGCCATACAAATAAACTTTCCCTGCCTATACTGTATATACTGTATTAGACCTCCCTGAATGCAGGTGGTGTAATCCTACCTCATTCCATCTGGCTACAATTGCCTTCCCCTCACATTTGCCAAGTTGCTTACTGATGTCACAATTTACAATGTAATCAATATAGGTAAATCCAATAGACTGTTATGTTTCATGTTTATTTCTCTGTGTTCCCTCAGGAGTCACTTCAGCTGGCTGCAGTTGGACCGGAGGGTTTTAGAACACGAGTTTCCAAAGAAGTCTGGTCCCATTGTCCTATACTTCTGCGTCAGGTCAGTTTGGTTCATTCATATTGATGTATGTATCCTAGGGTTCATATAGCAATCTATACATCTAAATGAGTCACCAAAACACCATATCCATATCCAACAAAACGCTTTTTATAATATATGCCAACTTGTTATAACACCTGCAACAAGTAATGCAAATTTAAAACCATAAGTGAATTGTAAGAGATAAGATAGAGCTGGATAGAGTTGATAAAACTAACAAAAATCTGTTTTGTTTTATTCAACAATCCTTTGGTTTTCACTTCTACCAACAAAGATATTCACAGACCCATCATATTTGCTGTTGTCACCCCAAATAATTGTCTTTACACTGACCACAAACTGTTATTTTCCACTGCCAAACTGTTTCCCTATGGATGAGCTTTGTCAGAACTTCAATCAGTAGCAGTCTCATCTCGTCCTCCTTTTTTCATTCCGAGCATTAAAATATTCTTTCTTTATTACATTTGCCCAAACCAAATTTCCCTTGCCCTCTTGTGTTAGAGAGATGAAACAGGCGCAGTCCTTTGTGCTGCTCTTACAATAGATAGTCATAATGGAAATCTCCTGACTCACGCAATGCATTCTTCTTGATACTGAACATTTGGAGCTATAAAAAGTGACGTACGCAAACCCGACTTGTCCACAGGAGTAGCACTGCTTTGACATTTTCTACACAATGAGTCCAAACACGTCAGGTTCTCACTGATAACTCACATGCGGTTATTGTGAGCCTTATTTAGCAGACAATACACGCATAGAGTCGGTGCGTTCAAGGTGAAACAAGGTGTAAGGAAATGATGCTGTCGTGTGAAGGGAAAAATTAAAGTGTGTGTCAGAATGCCAAAAAATATGTTTACAGAATGTTAATTAAATTGTCTAATAATAGTTTCTTGCTCTCAAAGGTTTTCACAGATCAGCCATTTCCAGACAGAAAAATAATAGCATCAAATATGCAAAAGATTACATGTTTTCTCATAAGATGAAGACGACATGTTGTTAAAAATATGTATTATTTATTAAACCAAAACTTAAGGTACCCCAGCTTTAGGCAGCAAGAGATACATTGGAAATCCAAACTAAAAAACAAACTAAACTTTTTTTCACATGGACACAAACATTTTTTGCCTTCACATAGACGAGTGCTTGATAAATGTACAATAATAAATAAGGACAAAATGTGAGCGTTTGGTGACAGTCTGGAAACCTGCTTTCATCCAAGAAAGTAGAAAAGTGTTATAAAGGATGTTAAACTTGCTTAATTTAATTATTTTGACAAAAGGAGTGACATGCCAGCTTCATTCAGAAAGCCCCCAGCTCAGAGAAACCACCCCATCTCTGTACATATGGCTTTAACCACTCAGACAGTAGCAGAGCCATTAGAACTTGCACTTCTCAACAAGAAGATCCTGGGTCTTTCTGAGTGAAGTTTGCATGTTCTCTCGTCCCTTCCCCTGCTACTAACAACACGTACAGTAGCTGCCCTCTTCAGAAAAACATTCTGTAATCTCTGAAAGGTCAATAATAAAATAGAATAAAGGGATGCTGATCTAATCTGCTTTCGGTTATTATTAAATATTTTTATGTCTACCATCTTTAATGCATTTGTTTTTAGCTGAGTATTATGTAGAAATGTATGTTTTGGCGTATTTTCAGTGAATTCCCATGGGGTGGCCTTTGTTTAGGATTCTAATTATTCTTAATCAATACCTGAACCCATGCAGACGCAAACATGGATGGATGGATAGATGGATGGATGGTATTTGCTCCTCTAAACAGTTGCAGTGGGCCGACCCTCTTGTCTCAGTGTCACGGCTCAGGTTGGGGGTTCAAAGCCAGTATTTACATAGACTAATAGGTGTTTGAGGTCGCTTGAACATTTGACCTCATTCGAACGGGCCCTTTTCTCCGACGCGCTCCTATATCTCACCTCAATCTCTCAAAATGTCAGCACCCCTCACCCCTCCATCAGCGCAACAGACCACTACTCATATCTGGAGCGCACAAAGGGCCGCGCGGAAAGGCCAGCTTTATCAAACGCTGAAATTGGATAGAGTCGAAAGAATTGCTTTTTGAATGGTTTGAAATGCATGACATTCTTGGATCTTGGCATCTTATAAATTAGTGATTGTGGTGAGTGATATTGACAATAAGAAAAAACAATGTTGTGATCAAAATTGCTCGTCAGAAATGTGCTTGTAAACGTTCAAAAGTTGTGTTTCGAATGTAGAACTGCGCAATTAATTAAATCAGCCGCTTTTCTATCGTCTGATCTGTAACCAATTCTCCGCCGAGTGGTTTGGAGCAAGCTTCAGAGGAAATTTGTTCAAAGAGTAAGTGAATAAGTTGAAAAAAACATATAAAAAGCTGTTTTTACTGAGAAAAACCCCTTATATTGAGGTTGAGAAAGTTAATGAGTAAGTTTTGTTTGTCACTATGGAACAAGTCATTTTCTTAATATGTTTACATTTTAAATTGTAAATTCATACAATGTAACTTGAAAATTAAACAAAAACATTATTAAGCCAAGATTTGCCATCTTTGTCAAACAAACATGTATTTTTCAAGAGACAAGGAAATTCTATCCAGTAATATATTTCAACTTGATTTGAAATACTGTGGGACTAAACTGAAAAAAGTACTCAATTTAAGATGAAAAAAAAAGTTTATATTTTATTATTTTTGCAGTGCATGGTAGGTTTGATTTGAACACAAGAACCGTGAAACATGAATCTGTAATCAAAAGGTTTTGTAAATTTCCTATTCTTACTACTGTTTTTTGCAAATTGCCTGATATCTTTTTAAACTTTAAAGTTTCCACCCCTCTGCTTACCTGTGACCCACTCAGCGTGCTGGTTCTTCCCTCCCTCCTCCATGTGGAGCTCCTCTGTATAATGAAATGTCCCAAGTGCATGTATTGACGATGCTTCTACTCCTCCGCAGCTCAATGGCTAACACGATTTAAGCGCGCCGCATCGATCCCTCCCGATCGCACTCACTCAATACCCCCACGCAATCATGCAGCCGTCGATAGGTCTCATCTGCACGTGCTCAGTGGGGCCGTGGGCGGGGCCAGCTCAGCATTAAAATAGTTTGTGTGACCATAGAACCATTTGTTCATATGGAAGCCCGTTTCCGCCATGTAAAAAAAAAAAAAAGCCTACAGAAAGTCAAAATTTCGACTTTAAAAGTCAAAATTTCGACTTTAAAAGTCAAAATTTCGACTTTTAAAAGTCAAAATTTCGACTTTAAAAGTCAAAATTTCGACTTTAAAAGTCAAAATTTTGACTTTAAAAGTCAAAATTACGAGTTTTCAACTGCGCATGTGCAGTTGAAAACTCGACCATGGGTCATCCTCTACCTGCAGATTATGTGAAGATTTTGCCTACAGACAGTGACCACATCCATGAAGTAGCAGCAATAATGTTGTGGTAGTAATCGCGTTAAAATGCAAACGGTCTCTCCGTTTATGATTAGAATCCGCTTCAGAAGCCTCTATTTAGTTTATCCTAAACGGACTGTGGAAGATTAATAATAAAACACATGTGGCTGCTCAAAGTCATTGAGCATCAACTGGTGACGTCTGGTCAGTATCACGGCTATCGATGGATGCACCAGAAATGCAGTGAATAATATTGTGACTGACAGAGAGACCGTTCGCGATTACAGGACAGTGAGAGAGGTCCGCAGACAGAGGCAGGAGAACCACAGACAGAGGCAGGAGAACCACAGACAGAGGCAGGACAACCACAGACAGAGGCAGGAGAACCACAGACAGAGGCAGGAGAACCACAGACAGAGGCAGGAGAACCACAGTCACGGGCACTGACAATAATACCCTTTTGGAATTGCGATCAGTGCATTGAAGAGTATGTGACGTGTTTGCGTGCATGCGGGGGTGAGCTGATGGAGCGTGCGGGTAAAGTTGTTGGCGTATGAGCAAGAACACAGAGACATACAGGGAATAAGTACCTTGTCTGATTATTTTATTGTGACAAAATAAAGCCCACGACTCTTTTAGCAACAATCCGGAGAAATAACTCCGCAGATAACAGTGAGGGTCTTTGAAAAGGGTTAGAAATAGATAAACCCATTATAGATGCATGAATAAAACCCCGTACTCAACACGTAGAAAGCGCATCCTTTCAGCCGTGGAAAGACTCGCTCCGTGTGGACCCCTCTCAGCGCCATCGTCTGGTCAGAGTGGTCTATAGCAGATTGGATTGGAATGTCTCGATGGCTCATTTTCCTTTGATTTATTATAAAAACATATTACTCACATTATTTGTTACTATGTCGAAATAAGAAGTCGTTTGATTTAAATGCTGTATATATGTAAATTGAATTTAACATAAATAAATAAAAAGACAGCTCCTCCCTGCCTCCTACGACCGCGGTCTGGGGCTTAAACAGGAAAGTTTTACAGAATCAATCAAACAACATTATTTCTGGCTACTTCAAGGATGCAGTGGTCGCTGTCAGCAATATCGTCACATAATCTGCAGGTGAAGGACGTCCAGAGACCGTTCCAGACAACAACACACACGAGTTTTCAACTGCACATGCGCAGTTGAAAACTCATAATTTTGACTTTTAAAGTCGAAATTTTGACTTTTAAAGTCGAAATTTTGACTTTTAAAGTCGAAATTTTGACTTTTAAAGTCGTAATTTTGACTTTTAAAGTCGAAATTTTGACTTTTAAAAGTCGAAATTTTGACTTTTAAAGTCGAAATTTTGACTTTTAAAGTCGAAATTTTGACTTTTAAAGTCAAAATTTTGACTTTCTGTAGGCTTTTTTTTTTTTTTACATGGCGGAAACGGGCTTCCATATGTTCACAATGGGTTCTTTAACCTCCTGAGACCCTGCGACCTCATACGAGGACATTACATTTTTGCCTCTTGGCACAATGATACTAAATTTTTTACATCCTTGACCTGATGGCCACATTTAGGGACACTGCCCGCGCCATCTTGTGGTGATATGATAGAATTACACTTAAGGCAGTAGGAAAAAAATGGTGGCAATATCAACAAAAGACTTCTACAAGAGTTTACAGAAGAAAAATGCCCCAGGTAAAAATTCTATCAACATTTTATGAATGAAATAAATTTTTTTATGCACAATAATGTCTCTAGCTTCATATGGAGTTTGAAATTTGACAAATTTTGATTGTAGTAGCAGGCTAGGATGTCAGTAAAAGTGAAGCACTCGTTTGAGGACGCTAGGACTATGTACCGCTATCTGTTTAGCTAACCGTGTGGAAGATTTAGATGAAGTTACAGTTGTAAATAGTTATTTTGAATCACACATTTGCTTAGTTATGTGGTTTACAGTTGTAAATAGTATATTTAAGTACTAAGTGGTATATGCTAAGTATTGTTTAGTGTTGCTAAATTCTAAATCATAAACAATATAGCTAGGCTATAGCTAGCACATGATAGCCAAGCTATGAAGTGTCACTGATATACTGTAGATTTTGATGTTGGTTTTTAACATTATCATTACAGGCACACTTTCATTGTCAAGAGCAGAACAATTGCTGTTGGCAATTGCAGACAACTCTGAGATAGAGGACTTCTCAGATGGGGATGATTGTATCATCATCTCATACCTGTCAGTCATCTTCTGGTGTTTCCCACGGGGAGAGGCGGCGAGCTGGGGTGGCCATACTCATTGCCCCCCATCTCAGCCGCCATGTGTTGGAGTTCTCCCCGGTGAATGAGAGGGTCGCGTCCCTCCGCCTCCGGGTGGGACAAGTCTCCCATTGTTGTGACGGCCTACGGGCCTAACGGCAGTGCCGAGTTCCTGCCTTCTTGGAGTCCTTGGGAGGGGTACTGGACGGTGCACCTCCCGGGGACTCCGTTATTCTCCTGGGGGACTTCAACGCCCATGTGGGAAATGCCAGTGACACTTGGAGAGGGGTGATCGGGAAGAACGGCCCCCCTGATCTGAACCCGAGCGGTGTTCAGTTGTTGGACTTCTGTGCCAGTCACGGTCTGTCCATCACGAACACCATGTTCGAGCACAAGGGTGTCCACCAGTGCACGTGGCACCAGGACACCCTAGGCCGGAGGTTGATGATCGACTTTGTTGTCGTATCATCTGACCTTCGACCGCGTGTCTCGGACACTTGGGTAAAGAGAGGGGAGGAGCTGTCAACCGATCATCACCTGGTCGTGAGTTGGATCCGCTGGCAGGGGAAGAAGCCGGTCAGACCTGGCAGACCCAAGCGTGTAGTGAGGGTCTGCTGGGAACGTCTCGCTGAGCCCCCTGTCAGACGGACTTTCAACTCACACTTCCGGGAGAGCTTCTCCCAGGACCCAGAGGAGGGGGACATTGAGTCCGAGTGGACCATGTTCTCTTCCTCTATCACCAATAAAGCGGCTCGTAGCTGTGGTCGCAAGGTCTCTGGTGCTGGTCCCGGCGGCAATCCCCGAACCCGGTGGTGGACACCGGCAGTAAGGGATGCCGTCAGGCTGAAGAAGGAGTCCTATCGAGCAATGATGGTTCGTGGGACTCCGGAGGCAGCTGTCCAGTACCGGCAGGCCAAGCGTGCCGCGGCCCGGGCTGTTGCAGAGGCAAAAACCCGGGACTGGGAGGAGTTCGGAGAGTCCATGGAGCATGACTATCGGTCGCCCTCAAAAAGGTTATGGCAAACCCTCCGGCGCCTCAGGAGGGGGAAGCAGTGCTTTGCCAACACCGTGTATGGTGCGGGTGGAGAGCTGCTGACCTCGACTGGGGATATTGTAATCCTAACCCTAACCCGGAGATGGTAGCCTTGAAAAACCCCATGCGTTGCAGAGCACAAGACTGCATTGGAAAAGCCTGTGTCCGATGCATGACATGCAATGTGTACCTGTGCTTGCAAAGTGAATGCAACTGCTTTGCAGCATTTCACACTTGCCAATAGGGCTCTTCCAAACAGGCAGACAGATTGCTTTCTAGAAAAAGAGAGGGAGCTAGTTTGAAAAAAGCCCCGGTTCATAAGCTGTTCAGCAGAATTTTACTGTTTTAGGACTGTTAATAATATTTGCCATTATTTGTTCTAGTATT